CAGAATTCCCCAGCCAGGCTGGCTGGGGAATTCTGGGAGTTGAAGTCCACCCATCTTAAAGTTGCTGAGGTTGAGGAACCCTGCTGTAGGCACCACTCTACCATTAGGTAAGATGGAAGATGGTGGCAGAAAGGTATTGACAGAGAAAGCTAAGATTTTCTGCTGACTTCAGATTCAGTGCAGCATGTTGTCAATCAGCACTGAAGATTCAACCCTTAGTGCAGTTAGCTTTTGTACATAGAAAGGAGGCTGCATAATGCTTGTAAGTCATACCTAAAAAAGACCGATTTACATTAATAGAATTTAAGTTAGTAACATCCAATTTCAATCCCATTGTTTGTAAATGTTTCTATTTTTATCATGGCAAAGTGAGATTCCAGCCCAGGTAATGGTTGGGTCTTTCTTTACCTCCTCATGGTTCTTCTTAAGATAGGCCAGTTCTTCTTTCAGGCTTTCAATCTGCATCTCCAGGTCAGTTCTAGCCAAGGTCAGCTCATCTAAGACTCGGCGAAGGCCATTAATATCAGCTTCCACACTCATGCGCAGGGCTTGCTCAGTCTCAAACCTGGTTAAAGAAAGACCACAATTTTTCTTAGGCATTGTTTAAAAAATCATCACTGATTCTGTTTAAGTTTGTTGACGCATTTCCTAATGTAGAAATGTTTACAGTGTTAGGCTGGTTGATAGGGAGGGAATAAAGATATCTGGATACAGAAGACTGGCATTATGTTATTTATGTGACCACTTCCTTTTTAACAAGTAACAGAGCTATGCAAGAGATCACCCATGCATAGATTCCTTTTAGATTCCTTCTTCTACTCCCTTCCATAATTTGCAAATAGTTACATATACATTTTCCCCCATTTTCCTGCCCATGAAAGATTTACTTACTTGGTTTTAAAGTCATCAGCAGCCAACCTGGCATTGTCAATCTGCAGGATGATTTTGTTATTTTCAATTGTTGCAGTCAGGATCTGCAAGACAAGAAGGAACACACAGTTGGAGTGAGTCGCTTTTGGTCATAGCACATCCTTTTTTTAAAACTACTTTGAGCTCCATGCGCACACAGTCTATAGTCTATTGAAAGATGGTAGTCATGAACTGAGTTAGCATGGGCATCATTTTTAGGCTTCTTGGAGTGAATGGATTTTTTTTCTAAAGAAAATCCATGTTGTATCTTAGGAAAGGTGATTCAGCTGTTCACCTGAAACAACTTTGATCCATACTAGATTGGATTCAGTATTGAGAATAGTTCCTTTGGAATCAGTGGGGGTAAAGTTCATTTAAATCCCATTATTTGCAAGGATGTATTTTATGACTAAATATGGCTGGTTTTGCCATAATACAATCATAGGACTCACCTTACACTGTCCATTAGTCTAATACAAGCTCTACCAGTTGTACAAGTCAAACAGGTGCTATCTACTGGTTTGACTGGACTATGCAGATAACAAATTGATCACCTGAAAAATTCACCATAAGCTCTCATCAGAGCCTCACAGGCTGTCAGGTGGCATGAAGACATGATTATCACTTGCTCCTTGCAAAGAGACTTTTTAAAAAGCTACAGTGTAAATCCAGGATAACAAAGATCAAACATTAAAAGAAGAATGGATGATAAAAAAAGCTGCTACTTTGAAGCTGCTGTCTAGATATTAAACAGACAAACCCATCTCATGTGATTAACTTCAAGTAGCAGCAGGTATAAGATTAAGAATATCACCCAGACAATGACATAGCACCACTTCAGATATGTTTTCTTTTATATACATATATATGTTTGTTGGATTTCTAATCCCACCTTTCCCCCAGGAGTCCAAGGCAGCTTACATGGGAATCTCCATTTTATTGCCACAAAAACCATGTCAGATAACTTTTGCTGAGAGAGAGTGACTGACCAAGGGCACCTGGGACCTGAATTTCTGGTCCTAGTCCAGCACTTTAACTGCTGTACCATTTTTTTTTTATCCGCATTCAGTCGTGACCGATTCTGCGGCGACTGCCTGGACGAGTCCCTGCAGTTTTCAAGGCAAGGTATTTCGGAAGTGGTTTGCCCTTGCCTCCTTCCTAGAGCAGAGCCCAGCTGGCGAGCTCAGGAGGTGGGGTTTCTGTTGCTTCGCGCCTTTTTCGGGCGTGCGCGGCTTCCGTGTTACCGGCAACTTGGTCCCGTCTCCCATGCAAGCGCCGCCAGCAATTTTCCTCCCACCGGGGTGAGAGTCCCCATTTCTCTACTCACGTAAATTTTCGAGCTGCTGGCTTGGCAGGAGCTGGGGGGGAAGCAGGAGCTCACTCTTCTGCGCGGAGCCGGGCTCGAACCGCTGAAGTGTCGACCATTTCTGGCCGGCAACTTTCAGTGTCATTAAGCCACTGTGCCACCGCGTCCCCTGCTGTACCATACTCAATGTCAACTTTTGCAAAACATTCATGTTTGAGATTCTGCTACCCATGTTGCACCAGATTCTATCCAACTCTACCTGTAACAGGTAAGTTTTGGCCTGGCTCTGCACTTCACCTGCTAACTTCCTTTTGGGCTGAGCTTCAACCTGCCAGGCTCTTTAAAACTAACAGCTAACTTGAAAGATGTTAGTCATGAACTGGTAGGCTGGTACCAATTTCTTTATAATAACTGTTTGTTTTTCTTTTACTCTCTGTACTTTTAGGGTGTATATGTGTGTGTTCCTTTCCAAACAAACTGGTGTTTTAGTGACTCTGCTGTCACAAAATAAACTTTGATTCTATGTATGTAGAAAAAAAAATAGTTTACTTAATAATTATTAGTTTCTTGTCTTCCTTTTCCTCTTTAACAAATAGTAGTTACTGAAACAAAGCCAAAACAGTGCTGTGGAAGTTAAACTGACTGTTGAACAGGAAGCCCTTACTCAGATTCTAATTCAAGATATACAGGAGGCCTTTGGGAATATTAAGACAATGAGGGAAGGGAGGAGCTTCAAAGATCTTTTTCTCAAAGGGTTCTAAAGGAGAATATTTGCACTCTGTTTTCCAGAATGGGGGCTTTATGCATCACTGCAAAATAGGAAAAAAATGGCAAACTCATTGCACAAGTACAGATACACATTTAGTAATAATTCATATAATTTAAATAGACATAGGAGACATCTTGCTGAAATGGAGAAGACTGAGACCAGGTGACTTGTGTACTTCCTGCCAGGACATCCTAAAGGAAGAGTCAAAAAAATCGAGAGATGATCCACCACCATGTGATCGAAACAATCATCCTGACTTTACTGACTTTCCCCCTGGGGATGCCCCTGCTTTCTGTTGTCTAGATGATCACTGTTAGTGTACAACTTCAAGGCCTCTTTTTTCTCTTCATAGACTATTCTTTTAATGTTTAAAGTGGGCTTGTATTAGCAATACCCTTCAAATAAAGGATTGTCCTTGGACAATCTTTCAAACAGGATACCCACAAGAAGAGGGCTATCCTTTGTCCCTTCAAATAGAATGCTGTCCCCTGTAAAACAAAACTGATGGCACTCCTATTACCTGGAGACATATAAGTAACTTCCTAGTACTAGGAGCAAGCTAGCACTGTGTATGTGTGTTGGGGAGGGAACTACCTAGAGTGTGGAAAGATGGAATTTTTGGGCAATCTATTGGACAAGTTGTTATTGGGAGATGTCATATTACATGCTTTGAAGTTGGTGTGGCCTTGAGCTGATAGCAGCACACAATTTGGGTATAAAATTATGCCCATGGAGCAGAATATGAGTTAGTCCATGGCTGGAGACAAATGCCAGGAACAGACAAACTAGCATGCCTGGGCTCCAAATCTAAACAATCTTAAAATAGACTTCAAAGGAAAAGGAATGATGTTAATTATATCCCATTGGTTCATTGGGACTCTAAGCATGACTTGGATTCCATCCAATCCAATGTACACAAGGTGACATGCAAGTATCAACAGAGTTCTTCAGGAGTGCATTTCAATCCCATCATCTTCTCAGCACGCAAGCATTAGAGGACTTAAAGAACACACAATGATTATTTCCCTGCAGCAGTAATGAGGAAGAGAAATTGTGCTAACATGTAGTGGTAGTAAGGAACATCTTAGAAAATGTGGCAGTCCAGCATCTAGCTAACATGAGAGTGGTGCTAATAGCTGAGACCAGCTGCTAACTCAAGAATCTGGAGATACCTTAATTCTCAGCTGCACATGGATCTAAGTTTGGAAAATGCAAGACCTTGTAGCTACATGAGATATATCTGCCTTATGCAGATTATTGTTTAATTAATTATTGAGCATTATTCAATCAATCGATCATTGCATAATTAATGCTCTGTATGACATCCTGATTGACACAGGTGCAGCTAATCTATGCCATAAAAATCTGTCTATGCTATAAAGATCTGATTTTGATTCCTGTCTTATATACATAATCACATTACCTTTATATGGTTTCTTTAATGTGAACTATGCCATAACTATGCTGTACACAGACAGCCATTTTTGTCTGCAGTCTGGTAAAACAGACAGTTCTTAGACCCTTCTTAAATATAATAAAAATGACATACAGGAACTTGAATGCCCCCCTGACTGAAATTGATGCTTTCCAGTGAACAGAAAGTTTTTGCCAACGGTGTCCAATGTTTCAAGGTAAGTTGCTGTTACACCCACTTCACAAATGGGAACAGCGAGTGCTAGGAATTTATTAAAACAAGCTGATCAGTTCTCACCTGAGAGTTACTTGAATTTGGGCTTGTCAGATTAATCCCACTGGGCCATATGAGAATAACTTCTTTGTCTGTAATAATACTTCTGTGTTTTTAAACACTGGCAGAGCAGCTAAATCTTCAAAAGATTGCCTATCTCACAATTTTCACATTGCAAGCCAAAAAAAGGCTCAGGAGTTGAACTTAAGGGTTGAACAAGGGCAGGTATGGGGAATCTGGGGGTGTTAGTAGCTGATCTAGAACTCTCAACCAGCATGGTCAATGGTGAGGTATGCTGGAAGCTGCAATTTAGTTCTCTCTGCAGGGCCACACCCCCCTGCCCATTTTAGGAGCTTCAGAAAAAGACTAGGTTTACACTTTGTGCTAAGTCATGGTTTCTTTAAACATTATTCTTTGTATCAGCTACAACTGGCAGAGTTTGCACAACATATAAAGTCATAATCCAAGATGGACAAAGCAAAATTTGCATAGCATTAATCCAATGACAGAGAAACCTTTTTATAACAGCCAGTGGCTATCCAGAAACTGTCATTGCTAGAACCTACATAGCACAATCAAAAGACTTTTCACAAGATGCTGAAACATTAAAAGATCCCTCAGGATTCAATTTCCCCAAGTCTGAAGTCCTACCTTGTCTCGGAGGTCTTCAATTGTCTTGTGATATGGGCTGTAATCACGGGTTGGACTCGGTCCCTGTTTCTGGTACCACTCTCGAATTTTAACCTCTAGTTCAGTGTTCGCCTCCTCCAGGGCATGCACCTTATCCAGGTAGTTTGCCAGGCGGTCATTCAAGTTCTGCATAGTTATCTTTTCATTTCCCGAAAGGAGGCCATCATTGACACTTAGGTTCCCACCAAAGCCACTTCCAGCTCCACTTCCAAAGCCTCCACTATAGCCACCACCGCCATAGCTAAAACCACCACCATAGCCACCACTTAGGCCTCCTCCAATCCCAGAAGAGACAAGTCTAGCAGAAGAGACAGAGATACCATGGCCACCAGATCCCCCATGGATGCTTGGAGCTCTGAAGGAGGAACCACCAAAACCGCCACCACCTATGGTGGAGGAGGATTGCCTAAAGCTGTAAGAGGTCATGGTGAAGGGATGTCACAGACCAGCTCCTGACAGCCAAGTGACACACTTTGTGCTCTGGAGACAACAATATGAGTACTTCTCCCCCTCCCTGCCTCTTTTATTCTGTACTGCTGTGGGAGTTGTCTGTCCAACCTGCTGATATGTGAGCCCTCTGGAACCGACCAGCCCCAAACCCTTTGTCAGCACACAAATTCTCCTCATTGGTCAGTCCTAAAGAAATGGGCTGTTTCTTTTCCAAATATTTGCTTAGAAATATTTTCCTCCCCTCCCCTTGTCTAACAATGTGTCCCCCTCCTTCCTTTTTAGAACAATAGTTGTGATTCACAGTAGGTGGCTTTCTGCTCAAAAACAAGACATTGGTAATGCTAGGTGATCATTTACTTAAGCTGCAGCTAAAACCTTGAGCACACACACCTGTCCTGACACACACTGGTTCCTTTGTGAAAGGGGAGGGGGGAGGGAAACAACTTGGAGCAGAAATCCAGCAGTTGAAGCAGGTAAGACATTCCAGTGAAACTGAGACCAGGGTGGCTGCTAAAAGACTCTTGCTCTCCCCCTGCCCCAAGTAACATTCGTCTTGTTAAAGGGCTGCGGATATACTCAGAATATTTCAGTTGCTCTTAACTGCTACAAAAACAGATCCCTTTGAAAGAAGAAGGTAAAAGGCTGACTCTAATCACACGTATAACTCTTATTTATAATTCTTAATATCTTAAGAGTGTTTTAGCTGGGAGGGGAACCCTAGCATACACAGGTTTCTTTTTTGCATAGGAATCAAGAAATTCTTGAGGATATTTCCTCACGTGGATGAGCATTTTCATGCATAGCCATCCCTTATGATTTGTTCTGTGTTGCACTTAATGGTGGAATTCAAGCCACAGAATGTGCACCATGGGATAGGACATGTTTGCTCTTACAGTATGTTGGTGTAGAGAAAAAGTGGGAATCTAGGCTGAAGCTGCTCGGTAGCCAACATCCAAGTTGATCTGGCATTTTGAAAATGGGATTCACCATATACCAAAAGCCCCAAGAAAGGGGAGGCTGCTTGGTCACAGCAAATGTTCTGGCCAGCTTTGTGTTTAAAGATGTGTCATCCTGTGATATGAACCCAGTTTGAACTCTCTCATCTGCCAGCACCCATGTGTAAGGGAATGTACTTGATCTTCAATTGCTGTGAATGGCTCTGAGTGATGGGAGTTGTAGTCTGATATTTCTGGATGAACCCAGTACGGACAGTGCTCGTTTAGCCATAGACTCATTTAGTGACTGTTTGCAGTTACGATGATGATGAAAAAGGTAACTTTCCCACCAATCCTTGCATTTACGACCCTCACAGGTCTGTAAAGCAAACAAAAGCTGAAGTGCAAGTAGTCCCCAGTTTAAGAATTCCCAAGGTCTGTCCTTAAGTTGAATTTGTATGTCAGCTGGAACAGTATTATTGTATAATACTGTATAAGTAGTATTGTGTAATTAACTTGAACCATCGTGCATTTAACTCAAATCATTGTGCATTCAACTCAAATTTTGCTACAAAAGGCTCCATTCTTAACTATGGGTCATCCTTAAACCAGGTGTTCTTAATCCAGGGACTACCTGTAAGATGATAAGCACAGTCATGATTTCACTTAGCAACTGCTTCACTTAACAACCAAGTTGCCAGTCCCAGTTGTGGTCACTAAATGAGGACTACTGTATAGGGAAAGCTGTGCCCTACAATAAAGGTTTTCTTTCATATAACAGATAATTGTT